AGGGTCGAATGTTGCCATCATTATCTGGATCTAGGAGTTAATACAAATTGGATTTTTCTGGCTTCAAAGCGTCTGTACGCCACAAGAACTCGGGGGCCCTGAGCCAGGTAGAAGTTGATAACTGGGATGCAGGAATAGACCTTGTCGCATGATCTGCAGGGTTCTGATCCGTTGGAACATATTGCTGAGTTTTGACAGCCATGCACACACATACACGTGACACACTCCCTTCTAACCCTGCTGGAGCACGTCATTGCACTAGAATCGGCAAAGCATCTCTGATTAGATTCTAACAGTGAATAAAATCTAATCAGAGATGCTTTGCCGATTCTTATTGATCTGTTTTATTTGTATCTCATTATTTTATGTCACTGAATTGCTTTGACATGTGTGTCCCTTCTTGTGCACAGCCCAGAAGCTTTTGTGATTCTTTGCAGCAAAAATTACTGACCTCTGGCTTTGCTCTACTTTTCAAACATGCCGACACTGCCGCGTTCTAGGTGCCGGCCCCACAGGTCCACCCCATTGAGCCCACTGCATTGGAGGGACCTGCCCAAGCAAGTCAAGTCAATTGGGTGAGCCTGAGAGAGGGAAAGAGAGAGAGAGAGGGAGGGAGGGAGAGGGAGAGGGAGAGGGAGAGAGAGAGAGAGAGAGAAGAAAAGAAAGAGAAAGGGGAAAGAAAGAAAAGGGGATAAAGAAAGGGGGGGATGGAAGGAAGGGACAGAAAGAAAAAGAAATAAAGGAGGAGGGAGGGAGGAGAAAGATAATGAGTTATCTATTCTAGTCCAATCACCTGCTCCAGCAGGGTTAGAAGGGAGGGTGTGTGTGTGTGTGCGTATGTTCTCCTTGTAATTTACCAGTACATTTTGGTTTTGCCTTCAGAATTGACACTGTAATACATTGGGGAAAAGTAATTTTTAGGGTTTTTAGAGATCTGATCCAATGTATCCTGTTTAAAGCCTCAACAAAATGTGAGAGTTTCCTGATAGTCTTGACCATGTTTTGTCCACAAAACCTTTAATAGAAGCCAAAGATGTTTCAGTGTGGAAAAGGGCCTCATTCTAAACTAGGCCTCATTTCAATCAGATGCATCAGGTTTCTCTCTCTCTCTCTCTCTCTCTCCCTCTCCCCCTCCCCCCTCCCTCCCTCCCAGACTGGCTTTACTCTATTTTCCCAAAGTGCCTGCGGGGCCGACGCTTCAAACATGGATGGATGGATGGATGGATAGATAGATAGACAGATACAGGTAGGTAGGTAGGTAGGTAGATAGGAGGGCTATCCACAAAATAGATTACGTTTTCGTCTGTAGCAAAAAGGGATTTTCAATTTCAGCACACATTTCAAACGTTTGCTGTGAAATAACGGGCAACGATACGAACCTCCCACTAGCACAACTAGATGCAGACTGAGCGGCGGACGCACAGACCAAAGATGGCCACGCTAGCTCCGCCCCTTCTTGCTACAGATGAAAACGTAATCTATTTTGTGGATAGCCCTCGTATATTGGTAGGTAGGCAGGCAGACAGGAGGACAGACAGACAGAGACCTTTTGGATGGATAGGTAGGTAGACAGAAAGGCAGGCAGGCAGGTAGGCAGGCAGACAGACAGACATAGACCTTTTGGATGTATGGACAGACAGACAGACTGCGACAGTGGCAGCACTTTGGGAAAGTAGAGCAAAGCCAGAGTGACTTTCCCAATGTGCTGCCACCACTGCATTCAGCGCCATTGAGCCCCTTGCCCCGCTCTGGTGCAAAAGTAAATGGGATGAGCCTGTGGTGCTGGTGCCTTGAACAACCCCCTGGAATGTGACCATTGCTCTGGAGATGGCTCTGGCCGGAGGAATTTTTATAACCCTGGCCTCTTTATTGCTTTGCCCACCTTCCAGATGAGCAGAGGAATGATTTCTCAGTCTCTCACTGCATTTGTAGAAGGTTTAAAGACAGAGGTTCAATTTTCCTTTGAAAGCTGGGAAATATCTGACTCCTTGTTATGCAAATGGAGTCTTTGAGATAACAGGAAGACAAATTGAGCAGAGACGAGGGTGGGTGGGTGCATGACTGGTTTTCAACTCTGCGTTCAGAAAGTTCTCTGTTTCTAGCATGTGGGGAATTCCAACCCCTCCCACCATCCAACCAGCACATAGAGTTCCAATGCTCACAGAGAGAGAGACGATGAGAAATGCAGGCTTAGATTAACATTGCATATTCACTCCTGGCTTCAATATTACTTTGCTTTATCACAAATTCAAATTAACTGTCTTTATACTGATGGCTTCGGGACTTCAAATTAAATCTTTTTACTGTTCTGTATTCTGTACAGTGGTGGATTTGTCTTCTGTACAGAAGCAGATAGATAAACTCAACAAGACATCCGTAACAAAGTACATTTATTGGTTCATCAGGTACCCTCATAACTCACATTTGTGACAAAGTTCTTTATGACCAATCCTTTGTATATCTGTCTTGAAGGTAAAAAGATGGTTTATCTCCTATCCTTTTTTCTCCCATCTTGTAACGATAGAAGTAGAACAGTTACCACGAGTCCGTGGGCTCAGCCAAGAGTGAGGAAAACTCCCCCAACCCATCGAGGGTCAATTTAGTGACCAGTTAGGATTACAGATGTGGTCACATGACATGGACTACATTTCCCAGGATACCTTGACTACATTTACCATGATGCATTCTATCCAATTCCCATACGCTGGCTGGGCAGCAAATGCTCTGTAGGGAAGAGAATCCATTGCACCCCTGGAGAGCTGAGGGCGGAAACCAGTAAGTCTCTCGTCCTGCTTTGCCAGGATCCTCCGAGCACAGCAGCAGCAGCAGCAGCCTCGCCTCCGGAAGCCGCCTGCAGACCCCCCTGCTGACGTCTACCACCCTGAGGGCCAAGCGCCAGCTGATGGGGCCTCCCCTGGGAGAGGAGAGCTCAGGCAGTGAAGCTGAGTTTGCCCAGAGGTGAGGTGCCAGCGGCTGAGAGGGACTCCTGGGGCTCAAGCTGCCCCGGTGACCTCACCCAGGCAGTGAGGGAGCTCCTCCTGGACTCACAATTCCTGCTTGAACAGCAGCCTTTGTTGTTGCCGCCCCCCTCCCAAGCCTCTTCCCTTGGAGCTCTGACTCATTGGACACCCCCCACCTCCCAGAGCAGAGGAAGGTGGGCTCCCAGTCCCTCCCCCTCCCAGCCCCAGGCCCTGCAGTCCTCCAGGCCACCTTCCTTCCTTCGGGGAAGATGCTAAGCGGGGCGGCCATGTACAGTGCATGCAGAAAGTATTCAGGACCCTGGTGACTCTCATGGATGACCTCTAGCAGGCCTGGGGGATCCATCCTGGCGTTTTTTCATGCCCGACCATGGCTGTCTTGCTGGAGCAGGTGTGGGGGATTGGGAGGCACTGCTTTGCTCCCTTCTGTGTGGCCAGTCCCAGCCAGTGCTGAGGGGGGACGGGGGACACTGGCCTAGCTAGCCCCCCCCTCCCCCTTTAACTTGTGCATGGAGCTTGTAGACTGACTACTAGGAAACTGCCAGCATGGGTGCAGCCCTGAGCAGATGAGCAGCTTGTACCAAAAGAAGAGAGCATTTTATAGAGAAGTTTGTAGGTGAGCCCACTGAGGGCCCCCCCCCCCCCCCCCCAAAAAAAAATAACACCCTCAGTAACTACTTTTGGAAAGCAAGGAACCGCTGGTTGATTTTTAGAGCTTCTGCCTTCTGGCTTGCTGAAACTCCAGAGAACGTTTAAAACGCTGAAAATGCTGGGAGGTGCTTGGCCCAGTTTTCTTGGTGGGCTCTTGATGAAAGGGGGTGGCGGGTTTTGGCTGCTCCTTCCAGCTCCTTGGATAAAGAGGGCATGTGCACAGTTGCACTTCCATTCAGGCTTAGGAAGTGACACTCTGATCTCTCTGAGGTTCTAGTGGTGGCTTTTCTCCCAGCCCCCCCCCCCCCCCCCAATAAAACAAGGCTAATTTTGCCCTCAGAGGTACTGCCTGTGCACAGTCCTAGCCCCTCGCCCACCCCACCCCACCCCAAAAGAAACAAAAGAGGAAGGTTCCCGGCCACAGAAAATAAGGGCACGGAGCTGGAGAGCAGCACGCTTCTGTGGGAAAGAGCCCAGCTGCCGAGGCTGCGGCACCCAAAGCCCGGTGTGCTTTTTGTGCTGCCAAGCCAATCGGTGGGGTTGGGGCAACTGCAGAACAGCCACCGAGGGGGGAAAAATTTGGGGGGGGGGGGGGGCTGGTCCTCTCCGGCCATTGGAGGCCTGGTCCTCAAGCCTGCCTTGGATTTTTGTCTTCACAGGCTGCAGCTGATCGTAGAGCCAGAGAACAGCCAGGAGTGGGAGTTTGTTCTTCCGTGAGAAAAGGTTACAATAGGAGCTCCCTGTGAAGGTACATAAGCAGCATGCAGAGCAGCTGTGGGGAAAGGATTTTAAAACTGGCAGAAAAACAGCAATCCTTTCAATGCATCACGATTAACCTGTGGAACTCATCGTCTGCAGGATATCGTGATGGCCACCCGTGTGGCTGACTACAGAACAGATACGAAATGTGCATAAATCTGAGAAGTGGGCGATGGGATCCTTTTCCAGGGGTAACTTGGCTAGGTCAAGGCAGCGTTTCTTGTCCGTCTGTCATAAAAGGCCGGCCCGGATGGTGGAGAGGAGGCTGCTTTCCAGCACTGGTGGCCAAGGGGGAGTTTGGGTGCTGCCCAGAGCATCCTTGAGGCCTCCTCAGAGCCTCGGAATTTAGTGGCATGGAAAGGCTCTTATTGGTCTTCCTCTCCCCCCCCCCCCCCTGCAGGTTTCCTGAAGCTCTTCTTTCCCAGAGGTCTCCCTCCCGCCCAGCCCTGGGAGAGCGTGGGGTGCGCTGCACATTCCCAGAGGAGAAGGTTTGGGGCCGGTTTCGCTCCTGCTGTGCGGAATTTGCTTCCTTCCTTGGTTTGCACTCTGTTTAGTGGGGGGCACGCAGGATGCTCCCTGGTTTTTGTGGCTTTGACTGTTAAAACTTGCTAGTTAAAAAATAAAGCTGTTTAATTTGGAGTAACAAGGAGGTAGTCTATTCTGCACTGAGTCGGATCACATAGGACTCACTGTGAGTCACGTACCTCACCCACCGGTGAGGAAGAGTAGGCTCTGGTCCTGTGAAGCGCAGGAAGCGGATCTGCAGCCCAGAGCAGGTGTGGGCTGGCATCTCAAAAGACAGGTTGACAGGGCCGAGCTCACGTAGCCCTGCCTGGGTGAGCCCTGGAACCTCCAGCTGCCGAAGGAGAGATTGGACGGCCTCAGGACAAGGAGGGGGTGCCCGGCCAAGGAAGCCTCAGAACCGTGGCTGCAGCACCTCCTCCCCCCCCCCCCCCCCCCCATGGGACAGAGGCTTGTGCTGCTCTTTACCTTAAACAGGGCAGAGAGTTGGGAGCCACCTTGCATTCGGGGGACAATCCACTCAATAGACTTGGTGGCGGGCTGCAAGATGGCCGTCTGCTCAGGACTGCTCAACTCTTGAGAAAAGCTGTAAAGGAAGACCAGAAGATCCGGCAGAGTCTCCCCTCTCCCCCACCAACCCCCTTGCAGAACAGCAGGCCGATGGCTAACTCACCTTAGCGTAGTTTTGGGCACAGGCAGGTGGATATGAAGGTTGACCGCATGGCTATAAAAATTGAGGCGGTTAAGCTGAGAGGAAGAGGCTTAAGTCTGCTCCCCACTCAGAAGGCAATAAAGGGCTTCTCACCTTTTGGGAAACAAGTCACAGCGAAGCTTGAGATAAACCTGCACCCTGCCAAGGGGGGGAAAGAAAAGGATGAGTAGGTGTGATGAGCCCCCCACTGGCGTGGCCTTTTGAGAAGAAGCCCTGCAGATGAGAGAGCATGCTGCCCACTCACCGGCCACAGGAGCCGTGCTGAATGGTGGGAAACAGGTGGAAGGGCAGGGCTGCAGGGCTGTCATCGGCCAGCTGGTATTGCATCAGAGTCAGCTGCTCAAAAAAAATTTTTTTTTAAAGATTTTAAGGACCTAAGGTAATTTAAGACAGTTCCCAAGGAATGTTTAAAAAGCAAGCATGATAATGGTCTGTGGAGCTTCTCTGTCCTCCAGGTGATGGCTGTCCCAGAGGTGCTTTTCAAGAGGCAATTGGACTTTCTGGTTTTTCTTTGAAGACGTTTCGCTTCTCATCCAAGAAGCTTCTTCAAAGAAAAACCAGGAAGTTCGGTTGCCTCTTGGAAAAACACCTTGGGACAAGCATGGCTGCTATTTGAATTTTACCAGCCATCCAGTTCATGTGGTATTTCAACACTAAAACTGCAACTAGTAAGCCTTGAGAAAGGCTGAACACAAGTTAAACAGTGGGAGACGCCCGCCAGGAGAGTTAACCCAGCCGTGGATTGCATGGAAAGTAAGACTGTATAAAGACATCCACGAAACCCCAATGTCTACATGACGGAATACAGGCAGGTTTTAACATTGGTCGATTTAGGCTTCATGGGGGTGGTTGCAAAAATGACATTAAGACTTTTGCTGCTGCTGCTGTTCCTGCGTTTGCTGTGGGAGACGGTAGAGCGCTTGTGTTTGGCCTTGGCAGTCTCATCCCAGCAGGATGGCCAAGGCACCTCGGGAGCACAGAGAACCTCTGGGCCCAGCTGCACAATGGGACAGGTTTTTGTGGAATTTCACATTTTTGCGGGAGACTTTGACCCCCGTGGATATGTAGCAGGTACGTACAATTCTGAGCACCCCATTTCCAAAAGCCTGTTGCCAGGTGGGGGGGGGGGGCAGCTCAGAGGACAGCAGCCTTGGGCCTTGGAGGCCACCTGAAGGAGCCTGGGACATGCAGTCTAGGAAGAAAGGCAGGGGAGGTCGGTGTACAGAGGAGCCGCTGTGCAGGTCAAGAACTATCTTCTGGAGATTAGAGCCAGAAAAACACCAGACGAGCTTGCTACTTAACATTCAAACGAAATAGTTAAGTAGTAGATTTTTTGCCAGCCATCAAGCTTGAAAGAGGGGTCAAAGAGGCCACCTATGTTAAGACTGAGCAGCCCCCTCTCAACAGAGGGGGAGGGATATGGCCGTCCCTGTATCTCCTGTCTACAACACTGTCCTGTCAGCAGCCCCAGGAAAGCTCCATGCCCACTGGCACTTTGGTTCAGGTGCCCTGAGGGTGCCGATAAATCCCCAAGTGGCCTCACTGAAGAAGCTTCTTGGATGAGAAGCAAAACGTCTTCAAGGAAAAACCAAGAATGTCCAGCTGGGGGGGTGGGAGGGTCTTCGGTGCTCTCTGTGCTTGGCTGTGTTCTAGCAGGTGTTTCATTACCCAAACTAGGTAGCATCCTCAGTGTTGATGGCATTACCTAGTTTAGGTAATGAAACACCTGCAAGAAAACCACCAAGCACTGGGGGCCTCTCATTTCAACTCTGAGCTACGAACGTTCTCCTTTGTAAGTCCAGTTGCCTTTTGAAAGGCACCTTTGGGACTGCAGCGAGTGGCCCAGACTGGATCTCCCCCAGAATGCCGTATCCTGGGGAAGGCAGCCACGGTGGTGTCTCTGTGACACGGTTGACCAGGCTCGTTCTGGTTCTGGTGGCTTTTGCCTCACCGCCAGTCCCTGGTGCAGGCCGATTGCTAACAGCCCACCCTTCATCTCCTGTACTGATCTCAACAGTGGCCTTGAATGAGAATAATCCTATTCCTTTCCCAAGAGCGCTTCCTTAGCTCTTTTAACTAATTTTAACAGTGTTTAAAGCATCCTCGCTTCCTTCTCAATTTTAATTCTTATATATTTTTATATTTTAGCATTGTACACAGCCCGGAGTCTCTCTCTGAGGGAGATGGGCGGTTCAAAAATGTGATAAATTTTTTTAAAATCACTTGTTGGTTTTTGTTTTCCAGTAGAGGATTAGAACTCAAGTCCTGGCTTACCCGCCAAGCGCCAAAACAGCCAGGATGGGTGACTGGTGGATGATCGGCTGAGGAAACCGATCAGACTATTACAGGGTTGCAATGAAGGTGCACACAGCTGCACAACTGCTCCAGCCAGCAAGGCTAAAGATGAGGGGCACCTGGAAAGGTATGGGTGTCCCCATCTGGAGTTGGCCCATGAGACATAACCCAACAAAACGCCCAGTAGGTAGATACTTTCACCCAGCCAGATCAGAGATACTCAGGATTAACTCATGATACTATCTACTCTTTCAGCCGTGCAGACCTGTCCCTACCCTGCCTTTATCTCCCCTTGAAATGTATTTGAATATAAGTACACCACTAGTTTACATCACATAGAAGGTACTTAAAACCAGACCATGCCTCCTCAGTAACAACAGCCAGCCAATCAAACAGTCCGAAGTCAGACCCTTGACTCAGAAGTAGCAAACAACATCCACACTAATGTACATCACATAAAAAGGTACTTAAAGACAGAGTGCTCTGACTGACAGGCTGGCACAATTCAAAACGCACTGAGGAGGATGTCTCCTCGAATGGTGATGAAACGTTTGCAACAAACTGCCAAGCTCGGAGCTCAGACCAACGGCCCAATTACCTCCCCTTGGCTGGGGCTGACACGGAGGATGCGGCTGCCCTCAAATTCATCCAGTTTAACGGAACTGTGGAAGGAACACTCATCCACGCGGACAGCCGTGCCATAACCTGGAAGTGAAAGACCAGTCAAGGTGGGTGGGCGCAAGGCCCCTTTGGGTAAGATGGCTGATAGCCAGCCGTCCAGTCACCTGGGGGAGGCACCTCAGCAGCAGCGTTATGCCTCAACTGGAGAGCAAGAGCGGCTGGCTGACCACAACTGCGGCAGGTTGCCTGAGTGGCTTTGGGGGAGGGGGGGAGGAATGCTGCCACCACAGCTCAGGCAAGAGGGAGGAAGAATGGGCAACGGCTCCCAGGAGGAGAGCCTCCTTTTGTAGCCCATTGCAAAGTTGCATCTCACAGAGGTGCTGATGCTGATGCCGCCACCTTGGGAAGATTAGTTTCACCCAAAATAGCCAGGACCCTTCAGGGCAAAGATTCACCCTGATGCTGATGAGGGAATAACTTGTGTCATTGCAATTTGGCCACAACGAAGGGGGTACACACCTCGAAGCTCCTTCTTGCCCACGCAGAACTCCTCCGGCAGGCCAATCCGCATCTCTGGAAAGGGAAAGAGTGGCCCAATGAGCTCTGCCACCCTTCCGACTCTCTCCTCATCCCAGGCCTTCCTCCAAGCCCTTCCTTGCCAGGCAGCATCTCTAGAGACCTCTTTTGTGCAATGCCCTAAGCTGCCGGGGGGGGGGGGGGGGCTACTTGTGTTCCTCCAGGAGGCTCCCCATCTTTCTCAAGAATGCCCCCAAAGATTAGGAAGGGGGTCTATTAGCTGTATAGACAAACTGGGTGGTTTTTTTTCTATTTACCATCACAAGCTACGAGGTAACAAACTCCCTGCTTTAAGCCCGATTTCCCTCTTTTCTCTTAGTCCCAGTACTGAAAGTACTGGATTTTCATTAACAAATTCCAATTATTGTAATTATCCTGGCATCTTTCCCGTGTACGCCCTCTTCGATTATCTGATCCAGAAATTCTAAACCAGGTGCCAATGCCCTGGAATCCGGTGCTTCCTTCTGCGCTTACTGAGGCACCACCCGGGACCAAAAGCAACGATTTCCCTGTTTTGCGTTGGGCCTCCAGAAGGCAGTTCATACATACGAGCGGCCTCCACCCACCAGAGCAACCAGGAAAGAAGCTCTTGAGCCGTATTTCCCCTTGGACGTCAGTTTTCATGGGAGTGCCCTAGAAAAGGAAAAAAATGAGCACCTCAACCTCTCTGTCCTGAGTGGGACCTCAAATTTTAAAGGAAACCAGGTACTCTCCGGCACTTTGACTCACATTGGCAGCGATGATGACTGTGAGTCGTTCCACCACATCCAGGAAAACTTCAGGCTGTGAAACCTGGGGGCAGAGAAAGGCACTGTTCCAATAATTCTCCAAACCAGGGCAGCAACCCTTTCGCATTTAGGGGCCCAAGGCCAGGTCACCACCACCATTTCCAGGGGACTCGTTGCTCTGCCCACGTGAGGCAAACTATGAAGCTGCCGTCACCAAAATTGCTGCTCAAGGATGCATTGATCCAACAGAGTGGGTGAATCCATTTCTGGTGATTTTGGGTTTGGTCTCTAAACCGATCGCATGGATCACCATCTCTCATCAGGAGATCTGATGATGGAGTCATTCTTTTCTGAAGAACTTCTGATTCTGTGAAGCACTTACAGGACAAGGGCCACATTCGGCATTGTTGAGACATCCGAGATGAGGCAAAGATGCCTCCAAATTAGTTTAAAAATAAATGAAATAAGTTCACCTTTTCACCCTTTTTGTGGGCCTTTGGGGACTTGGATTCAACTTTTTCTCTTCCACCCTAACCCACCACACAGACTGGCCAGGGCCACCTTCAATCAACTCCTTTGGGGGCTTCATGGAGCTGACCACAGACTGGGAACTGGAAGATCAAGGGTGGAGTAATCTTACCTGCTCTCCCCGCAGTGACAGGATTGGACGAGCAGCTGCACAACTGGGTGCCACTCTGCTCTGTTGCGTATCTGCCCCAAACTGCAACCATATAAAACAATAGAAATGTGGTCATGAGACAGAAAAAATATTAAGAATGGGGGCAGCATACAAAGAATATCTAAAGTTGATAGGGCCAAGCGTATCGAATTTATGATGGGACTTCCCTGGATCCTAGAATGAAAAACAAACCTGTTTCCTTAAACGGTACTATGAATGAACTGGAAAAACTGCATCGTACACTCTATAATCAGCATCTCAGAGATGGGCTTTGGGAGGAAGAAGAATTGCAGGTAGTCCTTGACATACAACAGTTCATTTAATGACCAGCCAAAGTTATAACTGCATTGAAAAAAGTGACTTATGGCCACAATGTTGCAGCATCCCCACCCCCACGGTCACATGATCAAAATTCAGAAGCTTGGCAATTGACCCCTTTATGAAGGTTGCCGAGTCCTGGGGGTTACGTGATGACCTCTTGCAACCTTCTGACGAGCAAAGCTAGAGTCAACAACCGTGTAACTAACTTAACAACCACAGTGATTCACTTAATACTGTGGCAAGAAAGGTTGTAAAATGGAGCAGAACTCAGTTAACAAATGACTCACTTGGCAACAGAAATTTTGGGCTCAATTGTGGTTATAAGTTGAAGACTACCTGTAACAGGAAGCCTGAGAAGGCAACTTAAGAGTCCGGTGTGTTCCGAAGTAGCCACCCCTTTCTTCTACCTACCAAAACAGCTGCCAATCTAAAACTATAAATCACTCACAATAGAAGGAACGTAGTTAATCAGAATGCCTCCAATGGCTTGACTGAAGAAACTGCTGGCTTCCTTACTGAGAGCAGGAAAACATGGGTCTACGTAACTACTAAGGAAGTGCATTTCCACAGCTTGGGATCAATGAGCAAGAGCACAAGGTAAGACCAGGTCCAACCTCTGCCTTCAATGGGACAGTATGAAAACAACGCAGGTGCCTTGAGCAGCATGTTTGCTGACCGTCTGAAGAACCCGAGAAGGTTGTCTGACGAAGTGGGACCCTCTTCACACCTAGTCACGTGAAAAAGAAAGCACACACCCCTTTCCCCCCTTTTGACTACTATGGTTTTACATATTGGGGCATAGAAAAAATTGTCTGGCATAGGAGTTTTTAGAAGTAGGTAAATACAACTTCAAATGAAGAACGCATATTACAACATGTCATGATTTATTTTACAAAAAGAAAGCCAAAATGCAGAAGCCATGTGTGGAAAAACTAAATGCACCTTATGATTCAATAGTTTGTAGATCCACCTTTATCAGCAATACTTTAAAGTAATCGTTTTTGGTATGATTTTATCAACCTCCCACATCATCGGGAGAATTTTGGCCTCCTCTTTACAACATGGCTTCATGTCAGAGGTTTGTGGGTATTGGTTCAATCACAGCTCTCTTGAGGCCCACCACAGCATTTCAATTGCGATGCGTCCGGGTCATTGCAACACTTTGATTCTTTTTCAGTCCAACTGTTGTAGATTTGCTGGTGTGCTTGGGATCATCGTCTTTTTGCATGATCCAATGTCAGCCAAGCTTAAGCTGTCGGACAAACAGCCTCGCATTTTGACTCTTCATTACTCAATGACTGCAAGATGCCCAGGTCCTGTGGCTGCAAAACAAGGCCAAATCAGCAGTCCTCTGCACGAGATGTTTGTGCTGATATGCTGTGTGGCAATGTGCATTATGGCCAAATATTTCCAGTTTGATCTTGTCTGTCCAAAGGACAGTCTTGTGATGTGTTCAGATGCAACTTTGCAAATCTAAGCCGTGCTACCATGTTCTTTCCAGAAAGAGGCGGCTTTCTCCTGGCAAGGCTTCCTTCCAAACAAACCATATTTGCTCAGTCTTGTTCTAATTGTACTATCATCAACTTCAACATTTAACATGCGAATTGCAGTCTGTAGAGTAACTCTAGGATTTTTTTTGCAATTTCTCTGATTGCACAGTCTGACCTTGGGGTGAACTTGCTGGGACATACACTCCAGGGAAGACTGGCAACTATCTTGAATGTTTTCCACTTGAGAATAATCTTCCTCGCTGTAAAATGAAGAACTTTAAATTGTTTGGAAATGGCCTTATAATCCTTCCCAGGTTGATGGGCAGCCAAAATTGCTTTTCTGAGGTCATTGTTGATGTCCTTTCTCTTTGGCACTGCGTTAAGACAGACCTTAATGCTGGAGATCAACAAACTCCTAAAACTTTGGTTTTTATAGAGGGAGTCACACTGGCTGGCGATCAGATGATCAAGGTACTTGATTAGTAGCTACTTAGCCTCTTTAACATACCTATGGAAGAAGTATGGGGTGTACTTAAGTTTCCCACACGGCTTCTCCATTTTGGCTTTTTTTTTTTTTGTAAAATAAACGATGGCATGGTGTAATGTGTCATGTATTGTTCACCCGAGGTTTTTTGCATACTTTTAAGAATGGTTAAGGACCAGGTGATTTTGGCTAGTATGTCTTGGATACTAAAACCATAAAACTCAAAGCAGGCATGCTTTCTTTTTTCACATGACTGTACCTCCAAGTTTGTGTGTGCATAAATGGAGGAGGGTCACTCCAGACAAAACAAGGTCACACCGGCCAAAAGCCAAGGCTGGACTTGCACCCCCAATTTGCTTCCTCCCAGGGAAAATCGGTAGTTTGAGCAGGAAGCCTCCTGTCAACTCATAAAAATATTTCTATGGTCTTTTTAGAGTTGCCAACAGAAAGGGAGGGGGGAGCAGTGCGGCAGCTTGCAAACCAAAACTGCATTCCATAAATGTTTTCAAAGATACTAACTAGGTGACTGAAGTTTCTGCTGTGCAAAATTCTAACTAGAGGGCATGATTGATGACTCTGGGCTATGGATGTGTCCCATTGGGGAATATGAATTATGAAACATCCAGAGGGGCGGGGGAAAACCAAGGTCAAGGGTGATGATGAATTATGTGTCTCAGAGTCAGCTACACCCAGGCAGTGCCGGACATTTTAACTCCCAATAAATCCTTTTGAAGTTTTGGAAGCTTGGCTCGAGAGTCATGATTTAAATGGGGGGGTAACTGCCGGAGCCCTGACATCTAGCGCTCTAGTTCCCACAGAGCCTTCTGAAGTGAGAAGCAGGCAAGATCACAGCCCTCCTTCTCTACCCAGCAGAAGAAAAAAGAGCCCACAGCAGCAACCGGTGCCTCTCCCACACAGCAGGCAGCCCCCTCCTCCTGTGGGAACTAGAGCCCGGAGGAAGGTCAGCCACCTCAAGCACAGGTTTACAGAGGGCAACCAGACCAGGGGCCACCAAGCCGATGACACAACACAGCACCACGATCTGCCCCAAAACCAACCCTCTCCTGAAGCCCGTTAAATGCTACCGATGTGGGGGGTAGGGCACATGGCAGCAGTGTGTGCAACCCCAGATTTAAAACCAAGGCCGAAACCACCACCCAGGCCAGTTCCTGAACGAGGCCCCAGACGTGCCACCAACGCATCCCAGAAGGTCCTTCAGGCTGCAGAGGTACCTCTCCATCCAGCTGAAGGGGGAGGAACCCTGGACAATGATGACCAGTTGCCGGATTCTTATGACAGCGAGGACAAGGGCGAAAACGACCCAATGGTGAGTGGACCGATTCCCCCTTTTGTCTTCCCAATATGGCTTACAGCCCCCAAAACAGGAAACAATGGAACTTTCCAAGCCCTGATAGATTCCGGCTGCACCAGGTACCTGATCAACCTAACCATGGTCCTAAAACTGAGGATCAGAGCAAAAAAGCTAGCGCACCCGATCAGGTTCGAACAAGTGTTCCCTGCTGGGAGGAGCCTATGCCACTCACTTAACCGAACCAGTGAGACTAGAGCTAGCGGATGGCAGACTGAGTGTGACCCATCCCTGGATTCCCACTCACCAAGCCCACCGTGCTGAGGTCAAAGAGGCTGAAGGGCTGGCTGAGCACCGGGTCCATCTGGATGAAGCTCTTCAGGACGTCCGGGGCGGTGGTCTGGATGTAACCGTAATCCTAGAGGGGGCGGCGGGGAGGGTCAGCCGCGGGGGGGGGGGGGTGAGACGCAGCGCCCAATCCCCCCTACACCGCCCTGGCGACCCACCAGCAGCTCGTCCAGCACTTCGGAGATGAGGGCGAAGTTGAGGCCGACGGTCTTCTCGTCCAGGCGGCCGCAGTAGTCCCGCAGGAGCGCCACCAGCCTGCAAGGGCCGCAGAAGGACTCAGCCTCCGCCCGCCCCCGCCCGCCCGCCCGCCCACCTGGCGCGCCTACCTGGCGAGGAACTCCACGGCCACGAAGGGGGAGGCGTCGGGCCGGAGGGTGCCCACGAAGTACAGCCCCGCGTGGCGCACGTGGGCGAAGTGGAGCCCCGGGCAGGCCTCCTACGGGGCGAGACACGGGCGGTGAGCGGGGAGGCGCGGGGTGTGTGTGGCGGAGGGACCCCCAGCCTCGCCCAGCCCCGTACCATGAAGACCGGCGCTTGGTCGGCTGGCAGCGCCGCGATCCTCCGCGCGAAGGTCTCCACCAGGTCGGCGCTCCCGTCGCCGCGGACTGCGGGGAGTCGGTTAAGGGCCACCCGGTGCAGCCGACCCAAGCCCCCCCCCCCCCCCCCCCCCCCCCCCCCCCCCCCCCCGCGCGGCGGGGGGGCGGGTGCGGGCCCCCCGGGGCGGCCCCCCCCACCCCCCCCCCCCCCCGCTCCCTCCTCCCACTCCGTCGGATACGGTCCTTGTAGAGGAGCCGGTCGCCCTTGGACGAGAGCACGAACAGCTGCCGCAGCATCTTCCCGGGAAGCCGCCTCGGCACTGCGCACGCGCCCCTTCTCTTCTTCCCTCCCCCCGCATCCGGACATCCGGGAGGGCGGGGGCGGCGGGAGCGGGGATTGGGCGGGCGGGCTCGCGGGGCGGGGCGAGCCGCTTTGGCGCCATTTCTGAGGCGGCGGGAAGTCGAGCGGGAAGCGCCATGGCGGGCAAAGGCCGGGACTACGCAGAGGAGCTCGGTGAGGGACGGAGGGAAGTGGAGCGGGCGACGGGGGCGGCCTCCCTCCCTCCGCCGGCCTGGCTGACCGCTCTCCCCTTTCCCCGCAGCGAGGGCGCAGGCGTTCCTGGAGGGCTTCCGGCGGCAGGGCCCGGGCAAGGCCTTCCCCTACCGGGAGCAGCTGGTGAGCGGCGGGGAGGAGGGCGGCCGCCGGGGGGAGCGGGGGCAGTGGCCCCCGTACCTTCCTCCCTCACGGGCTGGGTCCCCGCAGGAGCGACTGGCGCACCGCGAGCAGGTGGCCCTCTACGTGGAGCTGGACGACGTGGCCGAGGAGGACCCGGCGCTGCTGGACGCCGCCTGCGAGAATGCCAAGCGCTACGAGCGCCTCTTCGCCGATGCCGTCTGGGAGCTCCTACCGCGCTTCCGCCGGCGCCAGGTCGGGAGAGGGACGGGGGGGGGGGGGCGGGGGGGGGCCGGCCCCCGGGGGCCCCCCCCCCCCCTACCCTCCCCCCCCCCCGCTTCTGGCAGGTGGCGCCGCGGGACGCGCTGGACGTCTACCTGGAGCACCGGCTGCTGATGGAGGGGCGGGCGCGGGAGGAGCCCGGGCAGCAGCGCGACCCGCAGAACCGCTTCCCGGCGGAGCTTCTGCGCCGATTGTGAGTGGCCGCCTGCCCCGGAGGGAGGGGGAGGGGCGCCCCCGTGGGACTCCGGGTGGGGAGCGGGGAGAAGGAGGGCGCGAGACTCCCCGCCGTCCGCTTGGTCTGGCAGCGAGCTGTACTTCAAAGCGCCGTCGGCCGCCAAGCCCCGCGTGATCCGGGAAGTGAAGGCGGATTCCATCGGGAAGCTGGTGACAGTCCGGGGCATTGTCACCCGAGTCTCCGAAGTGAAGCCTCGCATGGTGGTGGCCACCTACAGCTGCGACCAGTGCGGTGCCGAGACCTACCAGCCGGTGAGTGGGAGGCCCGGCCTTTGCCTTGGGGGATCCCGGGGGTTTCCCTCCGCCTGCTCCCCCTCCTCCTCTACTTTGCTCTCCCCCCAGATCCAGTCCTCCAGCTTCATGCCTCTGCTGATGTGCCCCAGCCGGGAGTGCCAGACCAACCGAGCTGGCGGCCGCCTCTACCTGCAGAGCAGAGGGTCCAAGTTCATCAGATATCAGGAGCTGAAAATCCAGGAGCATGTGAGTCGGGAGAGGATGGATGGCCAGACTAGTTGGGTGGTTTTTTTCTGGGTTGCTCCTTTCTTTGCTTTTCATTTACCACGATGGCAACGGACATCGATGGGAGATTTGGTTGGGGGGGGGGGGGGTGAATAAATTTCAGGGATGGGGACCTTATGCTTTTTGCGGGGTTTATTGCTTACAGAGTGACCAAGTGCCAGTGGGGAACTTGCCACGCTCCATCAGTGTTAGTGCGCAAGGCGAGAACACACGCCTTGTGCAGCCAGGGGACCATGTTAGCGTCACCGGCATCTTTCTTCCTGTGCGGCAGACTGGCTTCCGGCAGCTCTTGCAGGTGGGAGCTCAGTTGGGACTCGGGGGGGGGGGGGGGGACAGCGCAGGGGTCCAGGCTCCGAGCTAAGCGTGTCACTTGCTGTGTGCCCCAGGGCCTTCTCTCCGACACGTACTTGGAGGCCCACCACATAATTTGCATGAGCAAGAGTGAGCAGGAGGAGTTGGGAGAAGCAGAACTCACCGAAGAAGAATTGCGGCAGATTACAGGTAGGTTGTTGTGTTTTGTTATTTCTTCCTCCCCGAGAAGAAAAAGAAACGAAAACCTTTTTTCTCCCAAAGAAGAAAAGGTGTGTGGCTCTCACTTCTTCTGTAGTTCAAACTGATGTTTTTTATACATGCTTGCTAGTTGCATATTCTTCCTTTCAGGAAGAACCCATTTCACTATGCATACATACAATTTTCTGCCGCAATAACAACTAACCTTGTGAGATTGGTTGGGCTGACAGAGGCTGGCTGGCTTCGGGGGCTGACCGTGGTCTTCCCGGGTCATAGCCTAACATCTTGGCTAGCGTAGCCCAATATCTAGCCCTGCCGTGTAGCACCTGAGGGAACCTTGTTTCTGCTTTTGATCCCAACTGAATGAACTGTTGAAGTATATCCACATTTTGTCTCCTGAACTCTTCTATTGTCTGCTTGGCCATACAGGCAGTCCTCAGTTTATGACCACAGTTGAGCCCAAAATTTCTGTTACTAAGTGACACGGCTGTTAAGTGCATTTACAACCTTTCTTGCCACGGTTGTTAAGTGAATCACTATCACTAAGTTAGTAAAACATGTTAAATAAATCTGGCTTCTCCATTGACTTTGCTGGTCAGGAGCTGGCAAAGGGGGACCACGCAACCACAGGGACCTGTGAAAAACGGTCGTAAGTTCATTTTTGCAGTGATGGTGTAACTTTGAACAGTCCCTAACCAAATAGTTGTAAATTGAGCACTGCTTGCGCTGTGAAGGCTGGACTTTGAAAGCCTCCCAAAGGAGAGGCGGTGCCTTTGGTGGCCTGCGGTCTGCCTATTGTCCTTGAGCGAGTCGCACTGCTAGGAATAGTCTTCGTCGCATCCTGAAGACTTCCAGCCCCAGCCGGGAGCTGTGCGCTTGTAACGGCTGCTTTGGGAGTGTCTGGGGTGTTTGCCTTCCCCGGAGGTCGGACCCTCGTTGCTTCGTCACCTGCTGAGCTGCTTTTGCAAGGCCGATCCTCCGGAAGAGTAATTTCTCCCTCTTGTGTCGGTGGCTGTGTGCACCTCCTCCACACACGGCCATCTGCTTCTTACAGAGGAGGATTTTTACGACAAGCTGGCAGGTTCCATCGCCCCTGAGATCTATGGCCACGAGGACGTGAAAAAGGCCCTGCTCCTGCTGCTGGTGGGCGGCGTGGACCAGAATCCACGGGGCATGAAGATCCGGGGTAGGTTCTGTGCCTAGGGAGCCCACCCTGCTTCACTGCCCTCCGGCACCTTTCCTGTCTTTCCCACCCCTGATGACCTTTAGCTTTGTCATCAGGGTTAGCGTTCCCAAAACGTGACGGAGGCTTGGGTCCAATAACGGGGTCCCTCTGTGCTTTACCTAGGGAACATCAACATTTGCCTCATGGGAGATCCTGGCGTGGCCAAATCTCAGCTGCTGTCTTATATCACCCGCCTAGCCCCACGCAGTGAGTCTGATGAGGAGAGGGGATCTGCTGGCTGATTGCCTTCTGTGGCAAAGCTGGCCTGCTGGCGACTGCGGCCCCTGGGTGGCTACCCACTAGGGTTATCAGGAGCCAGCCGCTTCGCTTCGGTCAGGGAGGAAGGGCCACTGGGGGAATTTTGAAGGAAAATGAACCCGAATCATCAAGTGCACATGCGTATCCAGGACCCAGATGCCTCAAGTGGCCAGCCAGGTCCCTTTGGAGGTCCCTGGGGGGAGAGGGGCTAAAAAGAAAGCAACTTTGCTCAGCCTCATGGCTGCAGCAGGAGTGGGAGGAACTGAGGTGATTCCCTCCCTGGGCAGGGCTGTTGTGAAAATCTCTCTGCCCCATTGCTGCAGGTCAATATACCACCGGCCGAGGGTCCTCCGGGGTGGGACTGACTGCTGCTGTCCTGCGCGACCCGCTGACGGGGGAGCTGACCCTGGAAGGTGGAGCCTTGGTGTTGGCTGACCAGGGGGTCTGTTGCATCGATGAGTTCGATAAGATGCTGGAATCAGACCGCACAGCTATCCACGAAGTAATGGAGCAGCAAACCCTTTCCATCGCCAAGGCAGGCATCCTGACCACACTGAATGCCCGTTGTGCCATCTTGGCAGCTGCTAACCCTGCCTACGGGCGGTATAACCCCAAGCGCAGCTTGGAGCAGAATATCCAGCTGCCTGCAGCGCTGCTCTCCCGCTTTGACCTACTTTGGCTGATCCAGGATAGGCCTGACAGGGACAACGACCTACGGTGAGAGAAAGGAGGGAGTTGCTAGCCACTCCAGCAACCCTTGCGGCTCTTGGTGGGGGTGAGGGTGGATCCCCCCCACCCCCCAATCCCTCTGCTTTGCTAAGGGGTGTGTTTCCCACAGCCTGGCCCAGCACATCACTTATGTACACCAGCACAGCCGGCAGCCGCCTTGCCAATACCAGCTCGACATGGGCCTGATGAGGTGAGCAGGGGAAGCCTTGCTTTCCCAGAGGTTCTTGTGGCCAGATGACTTGGGGGGGGGGGGGGCGTAATGGTGAACTGTGCCTGCCTGGCATTTCCCCAGGCAGGTGAGGTTCGTTCCCCTTGCTCCCTCCACAGGCGATACATTGCCACCTGCAAGCGAAAGCAGCCGGCGGTGCCCGAAGCCCTGGCCGATTATATCACGGCGGCCTATGTGGAGATGCGGAAGGAGGCCCGGGCCAACAAGGATACCACCTACACCTCAGCCCGCACCTTGCTGGGGATCCTCCGCCTGGCCACTGCCCTGGTGAGCAAAGTGGAGAAAAGGAAGGGGCAGGGGGGGGCTCTCCGTTTCAGAAAAGAGCTTGTGGGGTGATGTGGACAGACTGGATCTCAAGGAGTACCCATGGTGGGCTGAAACGGTGGGGATGCAGCAGCCCTGGGGAATAATGGAATAATGCCTAGTGGTGAGCTGAAATGACCTGGTGCCCTAGTGGGACAATGATGAGGTGTTTATCTGAACCATTGGTGCCGTCTTGGTGAAACTGGACTCTGATGGACAGTGCTCCAATTCCTTCCCCCACTTAGGCCCGCCTGAGGCGCGTGGACATGGTTGAGAAGGAAGATGTCAACGAAGCAATGCGCCTGATGGAGATGTCCAAAGATTCCCTGTTGGTAGACAGGGGGCAACCCAACAGGTGAGGGG